TATGCATATCGCTCAAATAATTCAGTAAATAGGTAATACATTGAAAGATTGTTTCATTTCTCCATTGTAGGATGGAATATCTTTTCGTCATATAGGAATTTCGAATTTTTATCCTATTCAATTGAACAAAAATTCTGGCGTCCAGTCATGAGTGATTTCAAAACCCTCCTGCTTGACACAATAAGAGAAATCAGGAACTGGCAAGGTAGTCGAAAGAACCACACACTATTCTGCTGAAATAGCCTGGGTAATCAGAAACGACACTAGGTCCATGCATAATTTTGGCGCCCAAACGTAAATTTACTACATTTGAGATAACTTTTGACAAATATCTCTCCTTCTACCTCAATGGAACAATAAATATTCAATTAGAAAATTCATTGCTGAATATGTTGCATTAGTTCGGAATTTAATTCGAAATATTGTTCAATCTATCTGCCTAGTATCTTTACGAAACTGATATTTGAAGTACCTACCTACTCATTCACTCTATTGATTTTTTTCTATCTTCAGTATCTCGACATTTGAAATAAATTGGAAAATCATGGAAGTAAATCATTTGAGAGCTCATGAATTGGATTATGTAATCAGAACAAGAAATGTTGAACCTACTGGTGAAGAAGATGAGCGTTGAAAGATATTGAGATGACTCTTGAGTCAGGAAAATTCAAACCGTAGTTCCACAGATGGTTTTCTGAATTGTTATACGCATGCAGATGATGTTACCAAGATTAATGAAACTTAACAAGATCTGAGGGCAGAAGTTGATTCCTATACACTGAATATTAATGAATATAATAGATTAGATTCTAGAATATGTCATATATCTGGTGAAGTTCATAGATTAGTTACTGAAGAGGAAGATCAGGTTGAAATTGAGAAAAAATCTCATCTAGAATTGGTCGAAATGGAGGGTGACTTAGCATGCGGGGTATCTGGTGCCACAGTAGCGCAGACATCCACTCCAACCAACTTAACTCAACAGCCACCTCAATTCAACTTCACGAAATCAATTCCTACATATAAATGAGATATTAATTTTAGTAGTGACTCTCGTGAAGGGTCGTCGATATCATTGCTAGCAAAAGTTGATACTTCCAGTTTCGCACGTAATGTTATCTAGATTGAAGAATGAACGTAGTGAGAAGGAAATGGTGGACAAAATTCAGGAGAATTCATTGTTTCATTATATTCCACATCTATCTCAACGTGATATCGATATTATCTTCGAATTTAATAATTTATGCAAGAAATTAAAAGAATCTCGTGAATGATCTAAAAGGTATAAACCACTTTCAACAAGTAGATCAAACTTTTCAGAGCCTGATTTGAGTTGTCCTGTTTCTCAGGAATCAAAATGTTTCGTCTAAACAGAAATTCAGTTCAAATACATTGCTGGAATTACTCACGCAATGGTCACTCACATAAAGGATGTCGTTCTGAAAAAACTGTTAACTGCTATGGTTGTGGAAGAAAGGGATTTGCAAAATCCAAATGTTTCAAATGTAATTCAAAAAACTCCAGCAGTGCTGCAGTCAGTCTGGACGCTGTAGCCACAAGTTCAACAGCTCCAGACACGAGCTCAAATGATTCGAAAGAAAAAAAATGTCATGTCAAAATGGTGAATCCTGGAGAATAGCATTCTTAGTTGGAGTATCCCTAAAACATACTCTGATATACTTTCCATATTATCTCTCAATTCATCTTGTACAGTTGAAAACAATGTTGCACATAAAAAGCTCTTCCTCGACCCCATTTTCGAAGTTGACTCTAATGATAACCGTCCTCATCTCAGAGTTCAAATTCATGGCGATGAAGAACTAAGTCTTGTTGATTCTGGAAGTTCTTGTTCAATTCTTAGATCGAATGGACCTTTTTTACTGAAGAAATGGAATGTCAGTATGGAAAATGATGATATCTTATAAGTAACTACAGCAGATGGCGTTTCAAAAACAAGATTAGGTTTTGTAGATTCATACATATATCACACTTTCAAGACAGAGTAAACTGATAAAAATATTAATTATTCCGTCTCATGAACATACTTCAATACTAGGTGTTGACTTTCTCATTAAATTCCAAGTGAAAGCAGATTGCTTCAACCTCATCTTATGATTTGCAGCAGTAAAGTGATATATATATGTGTAGTTAATACAATTCATTCACATTCAGATCTCACCACGGAATAACTGGCTATGCTGAAATTAGTTGTAGACTCATTTTTAGAGATTGCACCTGCTGATGCAATAGAAAAAACTAATTTTCTCCAACACAACATTGACACAGGCTCAGCTGCTCATATTCGACAACGTCAATGTCTCCTGCAATGCAGAGCCATCTCAACAAGGAAGTCGATGAGATGCTGAAATTAGGTATTATTCAGCCTTCACAGTCTATATGGTGTAATCCAGTATGTTTAGTTGAAAAACATTCTGGTTAATTTAGAAATGTGTTAGATTCCAGATAATCCAACTCTGTAACTATTACTGATGCATATTATCCCATGACTCTAATTGATTCAATTTTGAGTAAGCTGAAAGATGTCAAATCCCTTTCATCAGTCGATCTGGTGAAAGATTGTCATCAAATTGGCCTGACACCTTCATCTCGTCCCTAAGCAGCATTCGCCATTCACGGTAGAGGTTTATTTGAGTACACCAGAATGCCATTTGGTCTCTCTTATTCGAGTCAAACAATGTGTTGAATGGTTTGGTTTGATGATGATGACATCATTATTGCAACCCCAGACTCCAATACTCATATGGAAATTTTGCTCAAACCTAAAAAAATTATTGGAAGATGCTAGCCTCACCATCAATTTGGAAAAGGTGCAGTTCTGTAGACCATTTTTCGAATTTCTTGATTATGTAGTTGGCGAAGAAGGTACCAGAATGGACGATTCCAAAGTATATGCTATGAAGAACCTAAGAAAACCACACAAATCAGACGACTGGTTGGTATGGTTGGATATTATAGGAGGTTTCTCAATAATCTTTCCTCTTTGTGAAGTTCAATGACAGGCATATTACGAGGTTGAAAAAAAGTTAAGGCATATATATGATATGGACTGAAGGAGCCGATGAAGCCTTTGAAGAAATACAAAAATCTCTGACTAGCTCCAGTTTTAGCAAGCCCTGATTTTTCTCAACCATTCATTATATACTGTGATTCTTCAAATACTGGCGTAGGATCTGTCTCGTATCAAGAAACAGATGGGATCGAACACCTTATAGCTCATGCCAGTAGGGCATTGAACAGATGTCAACGTGAATATTCTGCAACTGAAAAGGAATTTCTTGCAGTAATATTTGGTATAGAAAAGTTCAGTTGTTATATTGAAGGAACACATTCCGAAGTTATAACAGATTGTGCTAGTTTGGTCTGGCTGAATAACATGTCTTACCCTTCTGGTAGATTAAACAAATGGGCTCTTGAACTGTCTCAATTTTCCTTTGACATTGAACATAGGCGAGGGACACTGAATGTGGTCGTCGATCCACTTTTTAGAGCTCCATTACCTGGGACAGTCCCATCGAATCTATCTAAACTTACACCAGAAAAGTGAAACACAGATATGTGTGAAAAGGTTAAAGATAACCCAGATATATATCCTTCCTTCAGAATGAAGCAGAATGTTTCGAATAAACATGTTTTCAGTAAAGACAAATTGAGTAGGTAGTCCCGGTCTTGAAACCAGCCCCTCCCCTCCACTTTTCTCCAAACCACGTGACTCGGCCGACCAATCACAGGCCGGCCTGACTCGGCTAGCTACTCGCGGCCTAGCGAACGGGTCGTCATCATCGGCGAGCAAAGCGAGAGATGCATTCCAGAGATAACGGTGCGCATTTTATTCCATTTTTCACTTAACAACGGTTATATACAGGGTGTTTGAGTTGGGTAATAGTTTGGAAAAAAAATATAGGGTGAACCCAAAAGGCGTTATACCTCTCCGACCTACATATAAAGGCTACCCGCTATAACATGATATATACAGGGCGTTTGAGTTGGATAACAGTCAAAAAATATACTGGACGCCTCACCCACTTTTGCGGGATTAGACAGCTGACGTATTACATAAGACAAATGATTGATGACACGACGTGACTAGATGGCCTGCAAGTACCGCTACCTAATAATTTAATATACAGGATGTTTGAGTTAGCAATAGCGATAAGAAATAGGGCGTCTCACAGGTACACTCAGCAAAACATACGTATGATAGAGTATCCGTTTGATATACAGCAATAATAGCAATACAAACTCACATAGGGCACTCATGGCCTGGCGTTTGACATTTGACAGATGACCAAAAAAAACGCTATCATACATCAATACTAGACAAAGCTCTTTGAGGTTATGTTCCATTTCAGACATTCGGTATAGCAAATTTATTTATTCTTTCTATGGTATGTTTTAACTCGTACAGCAATATATAATAATATAGTGCCACTGAATGATCAAGACCTCTATGTCATGTTGACATGTTAATATTGCCAGGGATAATCAACACTTAGGAATATTATACATATGGTGCCCCACTGAAAAAAGGTATTTCTTTTCGAGCCACCCTGTATAACATTGGCATTTTCAGTTCGGAGAAGATTAGAAGGAGCATAATAATCATGTTCGTCTCCCTATTGATCAGTACCAATCAAGATGTTGAAGAGTGAGCATGTGCTGCTGCTGTTGCTTTCAATCATCGCGCCAGTTCCCGCTACTGGCAATGATACGATAGAATATGCAGGTGCCTTTTGAAGCGTTTCGGCTACATAAATACAACGGATAATGCTGTCACCGATATAGAATCAGCATTAATGACATTTCAAGAGACATACAATCTCCCTGTGAGTGGATCGCTGAATAACGAAACTCTACGACTGCTGAATAGTCCGCGTTGTTCTGTAGGAGAAAATAATTTCATGATACATTCGAAATGGAACAAAACCAAGTTACGCTGGTATTTTCCTCAAGCTAAAAAGGTGCATCGTGATACAGCCAAGATGGCATTCGATAGGTGGGAGGAAATATCGAATTTGAAGTTTGAAAATGTGCAAAACCCTTACAGGAAAAAGCCTGATATTACCATAACTGTTATTCGAAAAAATCACAATTTCCGAGCAGACTGCCAAGGCACTTCCAAGTGTCCACATAATTTCGACGGCCCTGGAAAAGTTTTAGCTCATGCATATTTCCCAAATGAAAACAGCAAATGTGTCGAGATTCATCTTGATGCAGAAGAAAAATGGTATCTTGGAAATAGTACTTCTCCTGATGGCCAAACTAATTTATTGATGGTCCTGATTCACGAAATTGGACATGCTCTTGGGCTGGGCCACAGTGGCGTCAATACAGCTATTATGTATCCTTGGTATCAAGCAAGTCCAGCATCATTCGATATAGATGATAAGAGGGCGATAGAATATTTGTATGGGCAGAAAACTGAAAACTATCAAACAATAACAACCTCAACAACACAGACAACCGAATCCCAAAAACCAATATCCCAGCACACCTCTACCACAGCTTCATCAGTGTCGTCAAATGAACCCCATAACGTAGACGTTACTAGCACAACCTCAAAGCCTCAGATAACTCCAACAAGATTATGCGACATTCAAGTGCCAGACTTTATGTTTCTAGCCACAGCACCCCAGTTTCAAAATTATCGAATGTACGTGGGATACAATAGATTTTTGTGGAAGTTTGATTTGAACGATATGCGAATTCCATCACAGCCAGAGCTGCTTGATGATTATATTCCTGAAGATTTAAAGTCTTCTCGAGTTTCACATGTTTTCCAAAATTCTGTGGGTAATCTAGTGACATTTATAAATGATAGCATGTATTATGCAGCATCTTTTCCGAATTTTCAAATCCACCAAAACTTTCGTTTTCCTCTGCCTTCTAAAGCAAAAATTAATGCTGTCTTCCAGACAAACAGTGGACAGGCTTATTTGTTATATAACAACGATTCTTACATTACATTTGATGACAATGGAGACATGAGCAACCGTGGGCCACTTAGTCACATCTTCCCAGGAATTCCAGCAGGCATAATATCAGCTTTTCGTTATATCGATGGAAATATATATTTTTTCGATAGAAATACGTACTACAAATATAGTGAATATACTAGACGGGTAGTGAAAGCCGAACCGTTCAGTTGGAGCGTCTTTGGAATATCCTGCCCCAATGATGGATTACTTCATCAATTGAAAACAATGTTAACAAGAATTATATCACTTTACGAATAAACGATTGAATACCATTTTGTTTCATTCCAATTGTCACATGTATGCTGTCTCAGTCACGCGTGTTCAGTATGATGTTCAGGCATGTGTGTTGAAAAATGCATCAATTTTCGAGATATATAATATTAGCATGGAAATGCCGACCTCAACTAAATTGTTCAAATAAATAGTCGATGTTCATTAAAATGTATGTAGACGTTTTGAGGAGTGACTCTCACGATTTTATTGCACTAAATAAAATACCTACTTTGTTTTTCAAAAACCCACCCTTCACACTTCATCAAGCTGTCTCCTCCTCCTCCTTGTACTTTCACAGACAGTAACACACCTTAGCGGTAGGGCTCGTAGGCTTCTCGTACAGGCAGCAACACACCTCATTGCCCTTCTATATGTCTTTTATTCCCCTTCTTGTTATTTCAATGGTGTCGTGGCCCTCTTCTGTTGTACGGTGCTGGTTGGAAGTAACTGAAAGTGGTGAAACTGAAACATAATGTGAGTTGCAAGTGTTGTACAAATTCTCGAGAATCAAATAGGCCATCATTTTGAAAGAGGTGTGCGCATGCGTCACAAAAAAAAAAAACGTCACTCTATATGAGTGACAGGGCTAAGTGGTAGTATGACAGGCGTCAATGGCGGTGTGAATGGCAGTGTGGCGGTGCGAATGGCAGTGTGGCGGTGTGAATGGCGGTGTGAATAGCGTAGTGGCGATGTGAATGGCGGTGTGACGGTGGGAATGGCGGTGGGACTGTGTGAATGGCGGTGTGAATGGTAGTGTGGAGGTGTGCATGGCTGTGTGAATGGCGGTGTGAATGGTGTGACGGTATGGTTAGTGTCGGGTTTATAAAGATGTCAGTTGTTGTCCTGACTTCATACTGTTAACATCATAGTAGGAAGAAAAATATATTACGTCTTGAGATGTTTGCTTGTCAGCAATGCAGCAAGAAATTCAAGTGGGCCTATGGATTGAAGCGGCATATGGATAGTCATGACGAAAAAGTTTTCAATTGTCATTATTGTGTGGACAAATTCACAAGATTGGATAGCATGAAAAAACATTTGGCGAGAAAGCACAAAGGGAACGACCTGGTTAATCCCCAAAACGAATCGATCACCACTGATCAACGAAATGAGTCGAACTCCATTGATAGTGATCATCAATTATTGTCCCAAAGCCAGTCGAATTCTGAGATTGGTCAGCAGTTGAGTCAAAATGATGCTATCACGGATGATCCTTGTGAGAATGAAATCGAAGATAGACATAAAAAAATTGTGGACTTAGCTGAAATTGTGAGAAATAAATATTTGGCGCTTGAACAACTGGCTGACGTTAAAGTACCTATGAAGCGTTCAAATTCAACATGTCTGAAGATGATCAAGCCGAGTAAGGAATCGCGTCCTGTCAAGTATTCATCTCACATTCAGAATGGCCATAAAAGTACTCGGTATTCACCAAGAGATGACAGTAGCTTCGACATTCTGAGGAGAGGTGGAATAATAGAAGGAAGCTCCAGGAAAGCAGATGAAATAAAATTAAAGCATAGATTGTGTAGAGGTCTTTTGGTATTTTAGTTGAAATAAATAGTATTTCTTTGAATCTCGTTTAATTTCTATTGATACTGAACTGAAACATGAAATGGGTACTCAGCAAAGTGTCTGAGGCCTGATAGCATCTAGCAATTGTTGACATCTAATAACAAAATTGATGTCACGATGACAATATTGGTGATCATTATCCTAATAAAAAAAAATTCCCCTCTGGGTCATTAAATTGACACCTATATTCTCAACATATAGAGCAAAACCATGCGCATACTTACTTGAGCAATGATTTTCAACGACGTTTGCTTGTCTTCTGTTTTACGATCAATTGTGCATAAATCTGACATGGTTGGCTACTGCTGGCTTACTGTTCTCTCATCATCATCATGCATCCGATACTTCAACAGCTGGTCCTCCGTTTCACCAATGAGATGTAATCTGAAACTGCAGTAGAGCATGAGACGCAAGGTCTCAGTATGTGTACAAATAAAGTTCATTATAATATGAAAATATTTCAAGGTTTAGATGGAAAAATGCGCCACTGGGGTTGGGACCCAGTCTTGGACAGCTCTTTTCATCCTCCACTAAAACCCCCACTGCTTCAATCTCGGATGAATGAAGAGCAAACCCATCGTTAATCCTTTTGAAAATATTTCCACAATAATGATATTATTCAGATCATATATGTATGTATAAATGGAAAACTAGTTGGTTTTGCGAAAATGCAACAACAAAAAAAAAAAGTAGAGGATTGAGCCTCAAATGCCAAAATGGGATATTTTCAGGCAGATTTCAATAGCAGAGCTCAAAGGTGTTGGATGAATCAACAATTATTAGAGTTGTTATTTTTCTAGTTGTGAAAAAATGTCAGTGTTTGCCGACTTGGTGAAGAACATCGTTTCAATACTGGGCTTCGTTACATCAAACCATGATGATCAAGAGATAAGAAGAGGTCTTCGCGAATGTCAGAAGAGGATTAAGCGAATAAAAAAAAAATGCGATGAGATATGCGAAGAACTTGGGGAGCAACCCTCACTGTATAGATGGATGCTACTCGTTCATTTCTGGATATAGCTGTTTTCAATGAAATTGGTAAGTTGCTTAGTTTTCCTCAACTAGGAATCAGAATACATGTCAAGGATTATACTAGTAATCAGCAAATTTGGGGAAGGGCTTAGATGGGTGTTTTTTCCATCAGGTATGAGAATAACAAAAAATGGACTTTTCACTTAGGGGTTGGTCACCCTGGGTTTTCTATATTGGGAATACTGATTTTGGTCATTTTGGTAATGAATAATAATCAATGATACTATTTTCATTTATTTTTCAATTTTGACATCTTCTAAATTAGTTTGTTTCTCAAGCTGGGTTGAGGATTACCACTAGACTGGACAACGACACTAATGATTTCAATATTGGATAATCAGATTCCGCCAATCACCATGGCTCAAAGCATATATTGATCTGAACACCAACCTCCGTAAACAAGCAAAGAATGAGTTTGAAAAAAACCTATTCACACTCATGAACAATGCTGTTTTCGGAAAAACGATGGAGAACATTCGTAAGAGAGTCAACGTTAGGCTTTTAACGGAGTGGACGGGGAGATATGGTGCTGCTGTATTCACAGGCGATTGTTGATGTTGTTGCGAAGCTTGCGAAAAAGTGAGCATGTTCGTGATAGAACACATAAGATTGTGTGAGTCAAAGAACTCGAAACCTGTCTGTAGGTGTCTGGAACGCGGCCTGTGTTCTAGCGGGGTAGCGGGAGTGCGATGGCATGACATCATCAGTGACAGGGTGTTTGAGTTGATTGAAAATTAAAAATTATATATACAGGGTGTCCCACGGTTAGACCACCCCACTTTAGGGGTAAATATTGAAGGATTGGGGAGTGTGGGTACTCTGAGAGAAGGATTTTTCGCGAACAAAGTCTAAAAGAAAAATCCAGTAGTTTGTCGGTGACAATTTGTTTTGAAAAATTTTTTGAAGGAAAGAAATATAGATATATGAAAAATATCGAGTTTTTACTTATCTTTGGTTGATTCCAAATATACAGGGTGTCTGTAAAAGGTTGGGACATGGCTCGGCTGTGGACTCCTGGGATAAAAACGAGTTGATTTAGGCCAACTTACCTATATCTTTACAAAATTCCTGTGTATGTGACTGAGTTCGGACCGTTGAAAGCCAGTTACAACTATGAACCAGTTGCTGAAACAAATACATCTGGAGAGTGGTCTGGTCGCACAACAGTAGAAATATAACTATTACATGTTTCTCCCGAGCCGTCACAAAAACGGAAATGGAACAGAGCGTTCCAGTCGGATCGACACCCAACTAGGAAGTTAGTTACGCTGAATAAGCTGAGTCCTAAGAACTCGAAACCGGTCTGTAGGTGTCTTGAGCGGGGTCTGGCTAGGTCAAAATCAATAGGCATTCAGGAAAGAAACACTTGTATCGGTATTCGTTTATACGAGTCGAAGCTCTTATCGGTAATTTCAAAGTTGACGGATATTACGAAGAAAAAAAAAACAAATATACGAGTTTCAGGGTTGCTATTACCACGGTTGCCCTCGTTGTTTTAATCATCAGAGAGATGCACCTCTCAAAGACAGTCCTTCTGAAACTTTAAATCTCCGTTATGACACGACCATTGCCAAAATCGATAAAATCAGATCCATGGGATATGAGGTCATCGAAAAATGGGAGTGTGATTTTCGTAAAGAACTGTGCGATAACGAGGAACTGAACACACAAAAAAAAAAAAGTAAAAAACAGCAACTAATAATACTAAAAGAAAAACGCCGGTGAAAAATAACGCCAAGGCGGCTGTAAAAATAAGTAGGATCATAACAACAATGGACTTTTCACCAGGGTTGGG